AGCCACAAATATTTATGTAAATCATGTAAATCAAGTAATACAAAAAACTCCCGATTTTAAGCACCACCCAAAGATTTGATCTGATTTTCCCTTCAAAAATGTGGTGCTTAAAATCGGGAGAATACGGTAAGTGTTATGTAAACATGATTTCTTATTGCAGTCATATGATTTTACTAGCATTAATTCACGTTTTATAGAGGGTATGCAGATACTTTTATCTATTCTCTGTATAACAATTTTTTTTAAATAGATTACACTTTCTCAATACCTAATAAAATATTCAAAAATCATAGAATATACTAATTAATATTTTACACAGATTTAGATTGATAATCTAATCTGAATTAATAGATTAGATTCAGATTTGAATTAATTTTATTGAATAATTTGTTATTGTTTAAGAAAAATAATTTACTATTATTTTGATTAAATAATTTATTATTGTTCAAGAAAATGATTTATTATTATTTTAATAAAAGATTTATTACCATTTAAAAAATTATTTATGATCATTTTAATTAAATGATTTATTATCGTTTAAGAAATGATTCATTATTATTCTAATTAAACAATTTGTTATAAACAATTTACTATTATTTTAATTAAATGATTAGTTATCATTTAAGAAGAATGATTTAACTATTGTTTTAATTAAATTATTTATTATCATTCAAAAAAAAGATTTATTATCATTTTAATTAAATTATTAGTTATTACTAAAAATAATTCACTATCACTCTAATTAAATAATTTTACTTAGATGATTCATTATTATTTAATTAAAACAATACATTATTATTTAATAGAATAATATATTATCATTTTTCTTGAATAATTTATTATTATTTTTAATGATACATTATTATTCTTAAATAATGCATTATTATTCTTGTATAATTTATTATTATTCAATTAAAATAATATATTATTATTCTTTTTGAATAATATATTTTTATTCTTTTTGAATAATATATTATTATTCTTTTTGAATAATTTATTATTTTAATTAGAATGATATAATATCATTTTTCTTAAATGATTTATTATTACTCAATTAGAATATATTATTGTTTTTCTTAAATAATTTATTATTATTTAATTAGAATGATTGAAAATTTAAAAATTTGTTTCTTTATAATGAAAAAAAACTTTTTAGATTTTTTTTAGAGTTGGATTTAAATCAGATCAGATTTAGATTTTAATTGATCTGTCAAATTCAGATTTAAAATTCAATTTATCAGATTTGAATTAGTTTTAAATTTAAATTAATTTATCAGATTTAAATTTAGATTAGATTCATAAAAATAAAAATTAGATTGGATTAGATTTAAATAAAATCTGATATGATCTAATTTTATAAAACAATAATATTAATATAAAAAATATAAATACAAACTTAAATCAAGTTAAATAACTGAAATATAAGAGTTATAAAAAAAATTAAGAATATTTAAAAGATAAAGAAATATTATAGTTAGATTATATTAATATTAAATTATACTAAATAACTAGATTATATTAATATAAAAAATTAATAACAAGAAAATAATTAAATAATACCTTAGAATAGCAAAAAAATAACTATAATTAAATTATATTCTGCAATTATAAATTATGAATTTAGTTATAAAATTACAGTTAAATTATGTAAGTTAGATTATATTATATATTTAAATTATTTTTTATACTCAGATCATATAGAATATTGTAACAAAAGAAGAAAACTGCTGAAAAATAAAAATGAGTTAAAGTTAAATCTAAATATATCTTATTTAAAATCATATTTGATATATAAAAATGAAATTAATTTTTTTTTTTGCAATTTTTCTTTTCTATATAATATAATTATATTATATAGAAAATGATCACAAATACCCAAATGATAAGTATTTTTTGTTTATTCACTTTGTTTACATGTTTACATGTTTATATATATTTCTAATTTAAGCATTTGTTTAGAATATAAATGAATGTCGATCACAATAATAACAAATAATTTTCTTTCAAACAAAAATAGTTAAAATAAAAGAATTGAATGCTAAATAATATGAGGCAATTCTTTACAATCACAAACGAGGTAATTCATATCAAAATATTGCTGATATTGTTTAATGTGATAAAATAACTATCTATGATATAATAAAATGTTTTAAAGAAACTAGTTTTACAATACTGAAAAAAGTTGTGATCTGAAACTAATTTTTAATTTAAATGCATAATCTTCACTTAAAAAGATTATTACATAAAATTCGAAGCATTGTCACCTTACCACTCAAAAAATTCAAGAATTATGGACTAAAAAAAAAGAAAGTTTCAACAGTTACAATTTGTCAGACTCTTAAAAAAGTTAACTTATATTCATATATTGTCCGCTCTAAACTATTAATTTCTGAAAATAATAAAGAAATAAGATTGGTTTAGGCATTAGAATGAAAAGATTGAATAATTGCAAAATGGAAGAAAATTATATGGTCTGATAAATCAACATTTAGTTAATTTTTACTAGGTTGTAGCTTATGTATGTAACATATACCAGAAAAAGAATTTGACCCTTCTTGTTTAATTGCTATAGTAAAATACAGTTCTAATCAAATATTTTGGAAATGCTTTTTGTGATATTAGCTGGGACCTCTTGTTCCTCTTTGTGAATCTGTAATAGGACAAAGATATGCAAAAGTGTTATAAAGGCATGCTATTTCTTCAATTTACAAATTAGTTTCTCACAATTAAGGAATTTTTCAAGAGGATAATACCTCATCTTATTGAGCAAAGATTGCCGCTGATATTCGTAATGCTTCTAAGATTTTCATATTACCCTGATCTGCACAAGCTTCTGATTTAAATCCTATTGAAAATCTTTAGAATGAAGTTGATAAGAAACTTTGTAACTTGCCTAATTAATCTAAAAATGTGAAAGATTTAGATGCTTTATCACATTTAAGTATGTATAGCAGCTGAAGGTGGTTCAACAAAGTATTAGTTTTTTATTTTTTTTTTTTAATAAAATATATAGGAAATATTTGGAACAAATAAATTTTTTGCTTATTCTAAAAAAAAAGTTAATATAATAAGTAAATTCAAATAGTTTAATTAATTGTTTGGGTACCTGTGATCACCCTCTGTATGTTTGAATCAGTTAAATTTATAAAATAATTAAAATAAAAAAATCATGATTTTGTTTAGTTAAAGTAAATAATTATAATTATAAAATTTATAAAACTTAATTAATTATTATAAATTTAATTAAGTTTTTTAAATTAAAAAAAATTAAATATTAATAATAATAATATTTATAATTTATTATTTATTTTTCTAATATATATATTTTTTACTTATAAAAAGTAATTTAATTATTTTAATAGACTACTCTATAACTTTTTAGTATAAGAAATATAAAAGAATGTGATATAAGATAATAAATAATTACCTTTTTTTCTTAATAATATTGGATAAACATGATTATCATATGGCACGTTGTAGTAGAAAGGAGAAATTACTAAATAAAAATATAATTTACGTTAGATGCTAAATGAATTTTTAAAGCAAACATATTTTAGACAAAAAAAAAATTTTTTTTTTTTTTGTGGTTTTCACAGTATAAAGCCTGTAAAGCGCCATATTTTATATATATATAAAGTTTGTAATAACAAATTATAATAAAGAATAAAAATTTCGATCACTGAAATTAACTAGATTGTTTAATATTTTAATGTTAATTGGAACTAACATAATACAATTTATTACATTATTATTATATTAGATTTACTAATTTAAAATATAAAACCGAGGGTAAAATAATAATTTGAAAAACACGCGCATAATATGCAGCGCAAAATAATTTTTCGGCTCGTGGTAATTTGATTAATAATAGCCGCTCTTTTACCAATAGAATTTCGGTAAAATTATGTAATTTGTTTTTTTTTTCGTAACCTGGAACCAAGATTTGATTAATAATAGCCATATATCGATCGCTATTTCACCAATCAAAATCTTTCGACTCCGGTAAAGCTATACGGTTAAATGTATTAATTTTTACATCCAGAAATTCTCTTGTTATTATAACCCAACTCTGATATTTTAATAGATTACTTGATTTTATAAAGTTGAAAAGGCGGAGTTTGGAGGCGCAGTGTTATCGATATAAGAGATTGAGGCTTCTTCTATAACATTATTTTGTATAGTGTTTAAATAGCTTTTTTTTATTTTTTTTTGAACTAGAATTTAAAAAAATTTTTTTTTTTTTGAAATAATTTAATAATTAATCAAATGGAAGAAATATCGCATGAAAAGAATATGGTTCCAGGTTCTTACGTTATCCTGGAAAACGTATTTGGACTCATGGGAACAGTAATATGGTCATTTCAATTAGTTCCGCAAGGTAAGGATTTATTTCGATCTGTTATGTTGAACGTTAAAACGCATTTTACTTTGATTAATCACATGATGCAGTTTATAAAAATTGGCGAAGAAAATCCACGAGAGGTAAGACTGATTTTCTGATCACATTTTATACCCATGCCAATTTGATCCTTACATAATATTTTCAGGACTTTCTCAAATGATGATTCTTCTATGGGTAAAAAAAAAGATTTTGATATACAGCTTTTCACGTGAACATCAACGTTAAAAACCTCTCGTTTATTTTTAGACGATAGCCAATGTGTTTTTTGGAACATACGCGATAGTCTTAAATTTGTCGATTCCCTTAATAATCCAGCCACAACTCTTTGGAATTATTTGTTTGTTTGTTGATATACAATTTTTATATTACGATTCACCAAAACTTAAAGGAAATAAAGTAAAAAATGTAACATTATTCATATTGTCGGCGCTGCTCTTTGCCGTATGTGAAGTTGGTTCCGTTTACGGAATTAGAGTAAGAGGATTTTCAATTGCTTGATTGATTTTTATCTTTGTATGACAAGAAATTTGATAGGTTTATCATTTTAGGGAGCGAATGCGACAAAGATCAGGTGGCCTGAAAAGGTTTTCGGAATCGTATCGCCAGTTTTATTGATTTCCGGATTTGTGCCGCAGTACATCCAAATATATAGTAAGTTTAAAAATCTTTGATTAAATTCTTAAATATCACATTTAAAAATTGGGTTTAAATTGTTTTACATAGGGGAGAAGCATGTAATTGGGATTTCAATGATATTTATGGCATTAGATATGGCAGGAGCCTTGTTTTCTGTTCTTAGTTTAGGTATGTTTTTGATTGTCATATCTCATTATTTAATTCCTATTACTAATTACGAAAATCTTTTTTAGTTTTCCGACCACCCCCATTTGATACAATAGCATCATTAACTTACATATCGGTATTTGTATTAGATGGTTTAATTGTGCTATTGTATTACTTTTTAAACTGGTTTCATGCAAGGAAAAATCATAATGATGAAGAAATTTATGGGTATATAATTAGTAACACAAATGTGTAAAGGGGCGCCAATAATTTAAAAGGTAGATGTGAATAAATTACCAATAACAATTAGCCCTAAATTTTTTTAAATAGAAATTTTAAACAGGTTGAATTGGGCGTTTTTTTTTTTTTTTTTTTTGATTGTTACGTGTAACGTTTCTGCTCGACCAATTTAAATAATTTGTTTTTTTTCTGAGTCAGAGTAATAAAAAAAATCACTCTTCCTTTTTTATTATGTCGTCAAGTAAAAGACCAATGCCAACGCAAGCGTTTGTTTCCACAAATACATCATCTTTAAATCCAACCATAAAAGAGCAACAATATGTACATGACGTTTATGAAAAAATAGCTCAACATTTTAGTAGCACTAGATATAAGCCATGGCCTGTTGTAGAAGAATTCTTAAAGGAGATGGAAATTGGAAGTATCGGGGTTGATATTGGATGCGGTAATGGAAAATATTTAGGGGTTAATCGGAATGTTTATATAATCGGCGCTGATAGAAGTTCAAGTTTAATCGAGATAAGCGCATCAAGGGGATTTGAAACTCTCATTTGTGATGCATTGAATTTACCATATAGAGACGAATGTTTTGTATCCATTTTCGTTGTAAACAAAAGATAAAAAAATTAAAAATAAAATAAAACAATTACTAGTCCATTAACTCGTTAAAAAAAAATGATTCAAAGGATTTCGTAATCTCGATTGCCGTCATTCATCATTTCACAACTTTAGAAAGGAGGATTGCAGCGACAAAGGTTAACCCTTTATTTTATTTTAAGTACAATACAAAAAAAAAATAATCATAATAAATGATAAATTATTTATTATTATTGATAGGAATTATTTCGAATTGCAAAACCAGGATCAAAAATCTTGATCTATGTTTGGGCTATGGAACAAATAGAATCACGTAGAAAATTTGATGAAAATTATCAGGATGTCTTTGTTCCTTGGGTCATTCCGGCCGATAAGAATGAAAAAGAAGAAGAAATCGTGTATGATAGGTATTATCATTTGTTTAAAAAAGGTGAACTGGATGAAATTGTCGCAAATATAGGTTTGGCACAAATAATTAAATCGGATTATAATAAGGATAATTGGTATGTGATAGCGACGAAAAGGCAATAAAATTCTTAAACGGTATCGGATTCATTTTTTAATACTATGCTAGGATCCATTTTGACCTTTCTCATATACCCGTCATACCAATCTTGAAACACTTTTGCTGATATATATGAATTTCCTATCCCAATCTTTTGTGCTCCAAAAGGAATCGTTGAAGCACAAAACGACGTAACATAGTTATAAAAATTTTTAAGGATATTAATAGAAATCTGACTAATATTTTCTGAACTTGTCGCATTGATTTGTGGTGATAAATTTGTAATTTGCGCTTCAATCACGGAGATTGGTTCAATTGAAATTCCCAACGTGGCTGTTATCGAAGATACGTTAGAATCAGATGAAAATGCTCCACTTTCACCACCCATGATCAATCTGGTCCCAAATGTCGGATTTTGTCCATTTGACGGAATGATCGTTCCGCGAAGACGAAAAATCGCACTTGGCTTTTCATTTGAAAGCCTGAGAAAATAATATAATCAATCAAAATTTATTAATTAATCAATCAATTGAATTATTTTTCTCGCTCGAACCACTCGAACCCATGATTTTTTTATTTTTTTCTCGCAAGGTGTTTTGAAATAACTTGAATTAACTTACATGCCCAACAATTTCCAACCGCTTTCACTTCCTGGCCACAAGAAATGAACGGTCGCAGCATAACCTGGATCAAATGGAATCGTTCCAAGTAGGAATACTACGATATGATTCACGGTAGCCGCATCGGGAAGTTCAAAAACGTATTTGTTTACATCAACTTGTTGAAGATTGGTTTGGATCTATTGAAAATTGTCAAGATTTTAATTTCATTTGCATTTTAAAGTAGTAATTTTATATTATTTTACAATTTACCAGTCTTCCAGCTACAATACAACCAAACATTACGAATAAAAAGTTTCAATAAAAAAGAGGTCTTGACGAAATTCAATTTTTATGTTCCAAAAAGTAAAAAGCAATTTATCAATTAGAAAGTTGATAAAAGTCGGCTAATAATGTTCCTGTCGTGTAACGTACATTATGCAATAACCTCGTGATAATAATGACAAAATTGTTGGTTGCGTGCCACGAAGAAACACGATTTTTTTAAACGGAAAAATTACTGATTGTGAGAAAAAGTTCAATCAATGCTTACCATATCCATCATCGTTTAAAACAATTATTCATAATATATTTAAGTAGGGTTTTATCCTTAAACAAAATTTATCGCACGTTCAAAAACTCTCTCTTTTAAATTATAAAAAAAAAAAAAAAAATGATGACAATGAAGCTTCCTCGTCGTGTGTTGATGAATTCTGGGATTCGAAAGAGATGGTATACCCCGGTTGGAAGGTATTTTTTTTTTCCAACATGTTCCAACATGTTCCACGAACGAGATTAAGGGACCCGTCAATTGGTGTTATTAATATTGATAATCTCCCTTGTAGTCATGTTTACGATAATGATCCTGTGATACTTGATCGTGAAAAAAAGAGACTTCTCAATGGTAACTTGATATAAAGATAAAAAGAAATTGATTTTTTACGTCATGAAAAACTGATTAATTACTCCCTTAAAGGAAATGTCAAATCTCTACTAAAATCTGCACCAGGTTGGAATGAAATGTTGGCTTCAGATAGTGAAGCCGTGGTTAGTAATTTTGCTATTTAAAGATTTTATTCTTTTTTCTTTTGCTTTATACCTTTGAAACCTTTTTATTTTTTTTTTAAAAAAAAAAATAAGGTCAAAGCTGAACGAGAACCTGATTCATTTTCTTTAAAAGAACTTCAACAGGAATCATTAAAGATTTTATCAACTATAGATAGTGATGTTAAAGATGATGTCGTCGTTGTTGAACAGATTAAGCAGGAATCTAAGGTTCAAAAAATCAAAAGAAGTTGTTAAGAATGCTGCGGCATGATTGCAATAACAGAATAACAGATAATCAGTGATTTGATTTCTTTGATCTCCAAAATAGGTGCTTTTTGTAACATTATGAAATTTTATAATTCGTCATTTGTTATATTTGTATAACATTTGATTTGTTTGTTTTAATTGACTTTTTATAATATTCATCGAAAGAAAATTTTGTCCGACTTTAAAAAAAAAAATTTCGATCATATTGCATTTATTGATTAACGGACTATCATGCAACGAATCACTTTAACTTTAATTTCTCCAAACATGATCATTTCTGTACGTGTCTGTGACAGGGTGCGCGATTTATCAGATTTCCTTTTTTTTTCTTTTTTGGTGGTTCCATGATATTAAAAAGACATGGGACCTTTCCTTTTCCTGTAAAAACCTGTTGAACCTGACTCGGGTCACCAAAATATCAATCAAATTTTATTTTTTATTTATTTATTTTATTATTTTATTGTTTATTGAAATAAGCAATTAATAAAATACGAAATTTCTTTCAAAGGGGGCCAAATATTTATGAACGTGCATATACGTCGAACCTTTAAGATTGCTTTGAAAATATGCAAGATAATGTCCAAAGATATTTTCTAAATATTATGCATGTAATACATACATGTTTTGAAGCAAATAATCGTTACTCTTCTTATGTAAAGACAACTGGTATTGGTTTTCTGTACTTTCACTAATTTTCACCAATTTAAAAAAATAAAAAAGAAAATATGGATAACCGGAAAAAAATCTTGCATTATTTATTTTCGTATTATGTGATGATAGAGAGAGGGAAAGAATACAAAATATAACAAATGTAAGCGTTGTTAATTAATAAAGGCATGTTTTTTATTTTTAATTTTGCACAACATCAAACCGATGTACATCTATAAAATACAACCTTCCTTGGCGCATGTAAGATTTCGTGAATACAGGAATTTTAAATTGGACGGATGCAGTTGTAACAAAATTACATACTTGGAATACAAGGAGGAGGTCACAGTTCATATACTAATATAAAAAATGGGAAATAAAGATGATAAATGAACATTTCCTATCTTGAATTTTTTTTTTTTGGCTAAAATAAAATCACTTCCACAAAAGAAAAAAAAAAAAAAAAAAAAATAAACTTGGAGGAAAAGGCAAATAACTGGTGTAACTATATGCATAATTTGCATGCAAGTTAACAGTTAACTGGAAAAAATTCAAAACGCAAAAAAAAAAAAATAAAACAAATGTAACCCAAAAGGAAGAGATAATTCATTCCTAATGGATATCATTAAAAACGGGTTGTTTCAAATTCAGCCAAATTTATTATTTCTTTTTCCTATCAAAAAGTCCTGTACCTCACGGGTAACTAACGGGGTAACAAATAACTATTTGATAATTGGACGAAATTATTTTTCAAAATTAAATTCTTCACCATGATCGCATGATCGTCAAAAAGTTCGTCATAACCTCTTTGTTTTGAGCAAAGATTGACATTAACCAATTTACTCTTTCAGATTCTTTTAAAAAAAAATAACTTTATTTAGACAAAATTAATTTAAGTGGAAATGATTGGTTGGTTCTGTTAAGGGAAACAGGCGCAGCACATGATGTCATTTTGATTAATGTTTTGAAAATATTTTGTTTTGATTTCATAAATTTATTTGGTGTACCCAAAACAGATTATTTTTCCCTCTCTCGCGTTTCTCTCTCACAATTTTGACTTGAGGTTCCGGTTACATGACCAGTTTTCCATTTCGTAGATTAGATATTTCAATTTTGTTATTAATAAATATTTCATCTCTAATAGGAAATTTAAGGTGCCTAAGCCTCATTGTTTGTCGATCGCAATCTGAAATTTTGGTTTGTTTGCAAAGCCTATTTCCATTACAGACCAATGATTTTTTTGGTTGATAAGAAATCAAATTAATATAAAAAAAATGAAGATACGTCACCGATTATGATTTACATTTTCTTTTATGGAGAATGACAATAAGCCGAGCCACAAGTCCTTTGTCAAGTTATAGCGTTAAAAAAGATAAAAGCGTCTAACCACAAATGATGCCGAAAATATTAAAAAAATTTTCCAAATTCCTTCATGTTGTGTTCGAGTTTTACGGTAAACTTCAGTTTATGACATTTTTGTTTATCAAAAGAGGTTCCTGCAAGATGAAGTCATCACTTTGCAGATTATGACATCACACCTTATAAAAAAATTTTTTTTTGTTTGGTACCATTAACACAGGGCTACTAAGATCATATTATGTAATATGGAATAGGGATTTTCGATATAAACTTTCGGACAAAGGGTGGTATCCCTTTTTTTTGATACGCCCAAATTTTTTTTTTGAGGATTTCTTTGGATTCTCTTCCATCATTGGATTCCGTGCATCTTTTGCTTATCTACAATTCCAGGTATTGGGAAACACAAGGTAATAAAGTTAACATAACAGGAGACCAACCAAGTAGGTTGAAATTTTATCGGATGCCAATCGTTTCAAGTGAAATCTACGTTTCAAGGAAAGGTGACAATATGGAGGAATCACGTGTAGCATTTAATAAAAAGAAAGATGATTTCAGTGTTTATCGGATTTTAATTTTATATCTTACGTAATGTTGTGTTCTACAAGACTATCACTCATTGTCATAGTGTGACATAATATTAAAAAGGGATGTACAATTATTTATATTGATTGAAATTTTTTTTTTTTTAAAAAAATAATATAAACAGCAAACAATTTAAATAACCTCCAAATCACTTTCGCCAAGACCTTTTGCGGTTGCAATTATAATTTACATTCAATAAAAATATAAGCTTTCTTTATATATATATACCCCACCCACTTTCCCTCCCATTGTGAGTTGTAACTTATCATGATCCATATTCCCTACTTTTTTGATAACAATAATAATATTACTGCTGTTAATCGTGTTATGGACGTATGTAAACTTTCATCTGATTTTTATTTATTTATTTTTTTTTTTTTTTTTTTTTTTTTTTTTTTTTTTTAAAAAAAAAAAAAATTTCTTTTGTTCCTTTTTTTTTTTCTTTTTTTTAATTTTTTTTCCCTTTTTTTCTTTTTCCCCAAAAGTACCAACAATATCATGATGGAATACACTTCCCATCCACGACGTCCGCAATTAATAATCAGGTAAAATTTTTGATTCTGGTCGGAATGTTTCAGGATGTTTATTTTTTCTTGGCCAACGAAAGTTATTGGTGAAAAGAAAATGGTTTTTATGATGATCATTGGTGAACTGCTTATGTATCTAATTTACGAAATAAAAATTAAATCTATTTCTTATCTCTTTATTGAAAAAGACTCCAACATTTCCGAATAATATGGTAAAGTATATCCTTTTTCTAATCTAAACCTCAATGGGATTCTGATTATCTTATTGAAAATAAACAAAAATGTATAATAACATCATTTTAAAAATTCTTATCAATAGTTATACCAAGCCAATTCAGGATCCTTAGTTGGCTCTCATTATCACCAACAAAATCAGCAGAATCATGTAGGACCGAATAATAATTTGCAAACTTACAATATGGTAATTTTTTTTTTTTTTTTTTTGAAAATTTCGTCTCAATTTTCTTAAGAGAAGAATTAAAGGAAAAAAAAAAATAATAATAAATAAAAAAGGAAAAAGGAAAAATCACAAAATTAATACTGGATAATTTTTTTTTTTTAAAAAAAAAAGATTGACCAGGCGACCGCTCAAAATGTCAGTCAAAGTAATCTACAGGTAAATTCTTCCACGTTCATACGTTTCCTTACATCATATGCTTAACAAATAAATTCCCTTCCGTTCTTTTTTTTTTTTTACCTATTCATTTTTACCTATTTATTTTTTCTGTTTTTTGAGTTTTTATAAAAATTGTAATTAACCTTGGTTAAAAAATTTCTCACGCCAATTTTCAGCCTCATAACGAAGAATACGCATTATATCATCGTCAATTAGCTCAGAACCACGCTATGGCACTCGCTCAGTTATTGATTCCTGGTGCAGAATATGAAGCAAAGGAATCAATTCCAAAGTTATCCTCACAGAATCAGTTGCAAATGTCCCATGACGATCGTCAAATTAATATAAATTATGCGATCGAACAGGTAAGGATTTTTTATTTATTCGTTTAATTTCATCTTATATGGTAAATTGTCATATATTAAAAATAATTTAATAAATTTAGAATTTTGTAACGTCTCAAAATATTGCATCATCCGCCCAATCCGGCGTTTCCAATTTGGTAAATCAAAAACCACCAGTTTACACAAAATGGACCGAACAGGAAGATGAGCTGTTGCGTGGCGCAGTGCGCATTTATGGTCCGCACAAATGGTCTCTTATCGCAACTCATGTGCCAAATCGAACGCCAATGCAATGTTCGGCTAGATGGGTAGGAGCGTTGAATCCTTCAATTCTTAAAGGTCGATGGACTTCTCAGGAGGATAACGCACTCAAAGAAGCTGTTAGTCATTATATCAATTCTGTCGATTCACAAGGAAATCCGCAACCGATCCCGTGGAATAAGGTCTCAAAGAGAATTCCACAACGCACTGGGGCTCAATGTCAGGCCCGTTGGACCGAAGCATTAGACCCTCGCATAAGGAAAGGTAAATGGTCACCCAATGAGGATGAAATTTTGAAAGACGGGGTTCGAATGTTTGGGCGCTGTTGGATTCGAATTGCCGAAATGATAAATGGAAGGACTCAGGTAACTAATAAAAATTTTTTATTTCTTGTACTTTTATTTTCTGTACGTTGATTTATTCATTTCATTTATTCATTTTACGTGATTTTAATTATTTTTCCTTTTTTTTTTTTTTAAAAAAAAACTTATAACATAATAATGACCGTGATAATAATATTGAAAATAATTGATAATGATAATAATAATAATAATAAATAAATAAATAATAAAATTTAGAGACAATGTCGTACACGGTGGTTACAAATAAGAAATAAACAATCGAGAATCAAAAATGAAAATGTTATTTCTGGAATTACTGCGGTTGCCGCAGTAACGAACGATGAAAGTAATAATATGTTAACACCACCTAACACCACTCCTTCAACACCAGCGCAAAGAATTAAAAGCGTAACATCGAGCTCACCAGACATTATCCAAGGAGTAATCTTACGTTCTTCTCCACAAACGATGACCAACACTAGTCCCACATCGTATGGAACTTTAGAATCGCCAATTTCAAATCAGTCAGTGAGTAGTGGTCAAAGCCCAACCATTTCTGATCCCGCAACACCTATCTCGAGTCCCGAATTTTCAAATTACGTTGTCGATACGAACTCTTTCCAAAATTGCAACATGCATTTTAATAATTCGGCTTCCGAGAATCCACTTTTATTTTATAACGGTGCATATAATCAGGCACAACCTTATATCGAACAATACAATAACGAAATCACGTATCTTATTTGAATTCAAACCGCTTGAATTACAAAAAAATGGGAAAATGTGGAAAACAATGTGAAAGGAACAATCTTAATTTTTTTTTTTTTAAAGAAAAAAAATAGATGGTTATAATAATTAATGTCAAAGGGAATATTTAAAGGGAAACAAAAAGAATCTATGAACTTAAGGTTTTATTTATGTGAAAAGGGAAGAAATCACTACTTATTGAAAGTAATGTTCACATAACAGTGACAATTATGATCTTTTAAACATTTTTAAGTTTTAATTATGAAAAATAGGGAGTAAATTCTTATCTTATGCGATCCCTTTATGCTTATAGTGAAAGTTAAACGCGACTTTCACATATTTGTTCGTAAATCTTATCTCTTAATAGTGGTTACATTTATGTGTGTGTATATGTGTATATATTTTTTAACTAAAAAAAAAAAAAAAAAAAAAAAAGTAATTAATTAAGCTGTTATTTATATTAAAAATTTTATTCGTTTTTTTTTTTCAAATAAACGAAAGTGATCAAATAAGAATCGTCGACTTTGGTGTTTACAGTTTTTATTGAATCAGTATTATTGCATGACTATTTTTTCTTTGTTGACTTGCATCGAACGATGTTTTCTTTCTTTCTTATTCTTTCATTCTATTTTGTTCAAAGGGTTGCAATTCTACACGTCTTTCGTCAGTCTATAAGTTGAGATCTGGTTATGCAAAAAGTTATTGAACATATTACGGTTTTAACAGCTAGTTAAGAGGATTACAAATTACTTTTTGATATTAGTAAAATTTGTAACCAACAACTTTAAAGTACGATTGTAGAATTTTGCATCAATAGAGACACGCGACAATAAATCAAATGTAAGAATTCTCGCCAAAAAAGAAACCATACCATATGCACAACATTCTTATTTAACAGGATATCAGACAATGAAAAATAAAAATCGCGAAAATCATGATTTTTATTATTTTTGTTTGTTTGGTTAATTAAGGCATTTCCATAGGGCCATAGGGGGAAAAAAAAAAAGAAAAGGTCTGAAAACAATGAATGGTTCACACGTTTAATTTTTTCCTATTAAGGTTAAGTCTTAAAATTGATGTGATCTTAGTGGTTTACATTAAAAAAAAATGTTTCGAGGTGATACATATGAGAGGTTGAAAGCTGGGGAGCGGAGAAATCATTAGCGCGTGGAAGAATAAATAAATGAGTAGTGTAATCATCGCGGATTTCCGGTAAGTACGTTGTACTACATTTCAAGAAACTTCTCTCTTTGTTCAACCAACAAACAACTTTGGAGAAATCATTTCATTTTAGATGTCTTGGCAGGATTTTCTATCGTGAGATTTAATCTAATAACAATTCGTGTTGAACATTTTTTTTTCTTTTTATTTTTTTTTTGGTTTAATAGTAAAAAATGCGTACTCGCAATTTCTTCCATTCTTTTTATGCATGCAAATCAATCACGCAATCCTTCTTTTTTTTTTTTATATTAGAAAAATTTTTTTTACATTATATTACATAAAAAGGAAAACAGGTCTGGACAATGAATCGACTTTTTTGTTTTTTTTTGTTTTTTATTTTAATATATTATAAAACATTGATATTATACTACTTTATGATTAAAGACCTTTTTTTTTAACTTCAATATTCTCTGAAAAAGAAAAATTCTGTAGGTCGTTCTAGATTCATGAAAAACTTGATATGTTGCTCGCGTTTTCCTCATGTCAAAAAAAAACCCATAAATTCGAAGGATATTGTTACAAACTTAATTACATAAGACGCCTTCGGTTAAAAAGTGTGACGACGCGCGGCTAATCCCATGTGAAGCCACAAATCATTTGACACGAGTCTACAGGTGCCGATCAAAATTATGCGGACACCTTTTTTTTACCGGAATTATGCAGATTATCAAATAATCATGTGCTATATTTATCACTGTTTTTTTATTTATTAATGTGATAAACGAATATATAAAGTTTTTTAGCCTTCCCATTTTTACATTTTTAGTATGTTAAAGGTTCCTGGAAGGTAGGGATGTTAAAAAGTCCCATGGGGCTAGGTCCTAAACAGTCCTACGAAGTCCGGTCCAGTTCAAGGTCTTTTGAACTATAGGACCGCGGTCCTTGGACTGCAGTATTATAGAAAAATAATCGTTCAAGAAGAACGATGACGAATCGTTTGACTTGAGCGATAAAAGAAATAATCGTTCAGAAGAACGATGAGGAATCGTTCGACTTGAACGATTATTTTTCTATAGGACCGCGGTCCTAGGACTGCAGTTTCGGGACCTGGTCCTAGAATCCAGTCCTAGGACCCAAGTCCTATGGACCGGGTCTTCTTTAGGACTGGGAGTTTCGGGACCGGACTAGGACCGGACTGGAATTTAACAATCCTACTGGAAGGAAATTCTTCCGGAATATTATAAAAAATTGATCGATAGTATGCCATGGAGATCGAAGCTGTTATTGCCACAAATGGCAATAGAATTAAATATTAGTATCGGAATTTTTTTTGTAAAAATTAATAAATGACAATAAAATGAATATACTTTACCTTATTTTATTTCCAATATATGTTTTTTTGTATAATTTTTTTAATTTGAAAAGTGTCCGCATAGTTTTGATCGGCACCTGTATTTCTGAGGAAAAAGAATATTCTGTCAAGTTTTTATTGCATTCTTGTTTATTCATATTTATTTATAGATGATTTTTTTTCACATTTTTTTTTTTTTTTCGCATTGTTTATTATTTATTATATAAAATTCTAACCTTTTTTATTTACACATGTTGTTGACAAATGACATTTTCCGGATAAGTTAGGAAAGTTTATTGGTGAATTTTTTTTTTCGCTTCCGCCCTAACTTTATTTATTTTAAGCTTCTTTAATATATCGGACAAATCAAGCCATAAATAGCTTTTGTTCATCCTTTTTATAATAATCGCTTACCGAATTTGAAATTCTTTTTATTCAATCAAGTATGATAGCATACTTACTGTATATTGTACCTTTATTTTGATTTGCAATTTTCATTTAGTTGTTCATTATTAATCAGGATTATATACGAGATTTCATTTCAATTTATGACTTTATTTGTAATTAATCTTAACTAAGGCGTCGAAAAATTTACTTAGCTTATACCAAAAAATTATAATAAAGTACTTTTTAATAAAGAATATTTTTTCACATTTTTATTTCTGTTGTTCCAAATTTTTTTTTTTATTAAAAGGAAAGGTAATGATATAATATAAATATTATTATTATTTTGTTATATTAATTATTTAATCATTTTAAATTTTAACTATTGTTTAAATTAAAACCATTAAATCATTATTATTCCTTTAATGGTTTTGCAAACTGCACTTTTTCTTGTTAATTAAAGTCAATTTTGAATATATTAAAAATTATTTATTAAAAAACAATTTAAGTAAAAAAAAATATATTAATTAATAATTTTTGTATTAATTTAATATCAAAGATTTAAAATTTTTTTGATAAAAGTATCTCAAATTTTATATAGTATTAATTTTTAAATATTATATATAAATTTATAAAAAAAAAAACATATTTTAAAATTAAAAGTTTTATAATATAATTATTAAAAATGTAAGTTTGATTTAAGAATAATAAATTTATAATAAATTTTATAAAATATGATTAAATAAAATTATAATATTATTTAAATTTTTGCATTATAATTGATTGAAAATTTTAACTAAATTTATATGCAAATCCTTATCATTTAAAAAATACATTTGATTTTTAAATAAATGATAATCTTTTATTATTTTATTTATTATTTATTTTTACTTTTTATTATATTTTAAATATTATGTAAAATATAATTTATTAATAAAATTTTTTTCACTTTATATTTTAATCCTTTTTTTTATGATTTTATAGAAGTTTTATCAATAAATCTATATCATTTAAAATATTTTATTGATATTATACTTGTAATAGAAATTTTTATACATTTATAAATATTTTTTAGTAAATAAAAAAATTTTAATATAAAAATATTAAAGTAAATTCTAAAATATTAAAATATTAAATAATATAATTATAAATAAATTTATTTTAAAAATTTAAGTTAAAGTTAATTTACTTATAAATTTTCTTTTAAAAATTTTTATTCAAATTCTAATAGAATTTTACTTATTAATTTAAATTAATTTTAGATAGATTAAAAAAATTATTTATTAAAAATTAATATTTTTATAATAAATTAAATATTAATCTATTATTTTATAATAAAAATATATGTAATTGCATATAATTTTATTGAAATCTTAAAAAAATAAGAACCTTTAACTTTATAAATTCTTATACAGTTGACTCTGGTTATAACAAACCCTTCGTTTCAGAAGATTCAGTTCAATATAAAATGAGTTTGATATATAATATTTATATTATATACTGAAAAGTTTAGTATAAAAAATTAGCCAATAAAATTACAAACATATGATTATCAAGTTTTATGATTTTTTATTATTTACATTATTTAGTAAATTGCTATTATATTATTACATTAGATATTATCATTAAAATAATCTTGAATATTGTCTTGCTTAAGATTATTTTTAACTAAAACCTTAATTCGTTTATATAATCCTTTTAAATTTTTTAATTTATTACTTACTTTCCCAAATTCTACCTCTTGCTCATATAAAAATCTTATAATTTTATCTATAGCATTTTCTGCTTCTACTAGACTAACTTTTTCTAATATTAGCACAAATTCAATTTTATCCATTATATGTTCCTCTTCCCTATCTACATTTAATATAGTATCAATTATTTCATTATCAGTAAGCTCACCCTCTGCTGCTTTATCTTCAATGTGAATATATTCTTGTGCATTAAGATCACCTTTTGGAAAAAGGGAAATTAACCTTTCAAGTTCTTCATCATCTTCATTAAAACTAAAAAAATATAATTATTAAAATTATTTACATTGTATTTGATATTAATATTAAATACTTACGTGTTTTCATTAAAAATAAAATCATCTTTAAACACATCTTCATCTTCATTATTTGGTAAAAAAATTCCTGTTTTTTTCCAGCAGTTTGAGATTATTTGAGGTGATAGCATAAACCATATTTTAGCTGAATTTTGTAAAGCATCATAGGTATTATAATTAACAAGCTCTTTTATAATACCATTTTGCATATTATCATATGTATTAATTTAATTTTAAATAAAAAGATGTTTATAATGACATTTAAATGAATGGATGATTCCTATATTACATGGTTGAAAAATAGTAATAGTATTTGGTGAAAAAAATTTCACCATAATGCTACCTAATTTTTCTTGAGTTTCATCTAAAATAAGATGTATCAGTGCATTATCAAGCAAAAGAATAATCTTACGCCTTTTTTGTCTCATATTTTCATTAAGTTTAAAAATAACTTCATTAAAAATACTAACTTGCATCCAAGATTTTTTATTCCAAAAGTAATAAATAGAAAGGTTTTTGTAATTAAGATTTGTTATAGGATAAGAGGTTTTGTATTTGTGAATAAAAGTAAGAGCTATTTTTTCAGTTTCTGTTGTATTTGCTATGCAAAATATAGTGATGTGAAATTTTTTTTTATAATTAGATATAGAGCCATGTGCCAAAACTTTAGAAGGTTCCATTTTTCAAAAGAGACTAGTTTCGTCTTCAGTTCAAATATCTTCAGAATCATAGTATTTAAAAAATTGTTGTAAAGCAATGTGGTCATTTTCTATTGATTCAGCAGAAAGAACACTTAAAGTTTCACTTTGCTTTTGAAATTGACGCAATATATGTCTTTTTTTAAAGCCAGTTAACCATTCCTCTGATTGATAAAAATCTTCTATAGAAATCTGCTTAGCAAAAAAATCTGCTTTTATTTTTAAGATATTACCATCAATATCTTATTTTGTATTAAGTGCATTATTAACTAGAAACTAAATGCATTTTCAAGTTGAGGTCATTTAAGATCACGAAATTTTTTAATTTTTCCTTAGTCTCCTGAAATTGCAAACCAACGCTCCTTTTCATTTAAAATTTCAGTAACTGTTAATTTTCCAATATTATATTTTTGTATAAAGGCTATATTAGAAAGATTTTTTTTATTTTACAAATCTCACATTTTTATGCTGCAATAAGAATAGTTCTTTTCTTTATTGAAATTTTAAAATAAATATATAAAGAGATAAGATAAAAAAGATTATTAAAAGATTGTATTATTTTAATCAATCACTAATCACGTGATATTTATTATAGCAAATATATAGCTAATATATATAGACTATTATAATGAGTTCAGTATTTAATATGCAGAATTTTATTAATAAAGTTTATTATATCTAGTGTAAATAATTATAAAAAAATCAGTTCTGAGAACCTTGATTTAGTATAACGAGAATTCAATACATATAGATTTGTTATAACTAGAGTTGACTGTATATCTATATCTAATTGATTATATATATTTTATTATAATTGAAATATAATTGAATATTTACTTAAAAAAATATTAATATAATTAAAGATAGCACTGCAATTAGTTGTAACTGATGATAAATAAAATATTTATAAAAATACAACTAGTTGGTTATAATACTATCTTTAAATATGATAATATTTTATATTATATATTATAAAAATATTTTGTGTTAAGAATATTTTATATTAAAGAATAAAATAGAAAATTTTAAAATTGTTTGAATAAATTAAAAATTTAAATGAATATAAATCTATTAAATTATTATTTATAAAAATATATTATAACAGAAAAAAAAAAAAAATAGACTAATTAAATTAAAAATATTATTTAATTATTCTTTGATATAAAATTGAATTTTTTAAATTATATTTAATATAATACAATAATATTATTTGATATAATTATATTAATATGAATTTAATTAACATATTATTTTTTGGCTTTACTAAATCACACCACTGGTGCTCAAAACTACTAGTGTCTGACATCTCAAATTTGTTTTTTTTTAATATTGCAATTTACTATGGTTTTTTTTTCTAGTAATCAATAAAACCAAATGTAATAGATATAGCGATTAGAAAATAATATAATAGATGTAATACATAGGCGGTCTTAATATTTTGGACTCAGATTTCAAAATTTATGTATTCTAATTTATTGATATTATTTAGTAATATGAAGGAATTTATCGAAGCTTAATATATCAGAATTTTTAAAAAAAGATCGATAAGTGTAACTGATATATGCATAAAATAAGCCTTATGATACTCTATCGATAAGCTTTAGTATTATCTAAATGTGTCATAGGGATTTGCAATGTTGCTGAAATACTCATTGACAAAGATTTTACCAAAACTTTTAAAAAAATTAAAGTTACCTGTATGTTAAACATAAAAGTGGTAGTGAATATATTAAAAAAATAACATCAAGTGCATTCCAGGTAATTAGACAGTATATTTAAAGGGACCCTCACTTTCTGTCAAGTCTGCTGCTGCTAAATTGAAAGATATTGGAGTAAATGTCTCCCGTTTAACAGTTTCGAGGCATTTTGCTGACCTTGGATATCAAAATATACTTCCTCTTTATACACTAATGCTAACACCAGCCCATAAGCAAAAACGTGTTGAATGGGCCTAAAAATATAAAGATAATGATTGAAAAAAAACCTTATTTAGTGACGAAACAGCTTTCAATTATACTGTAATATAATAAAGCATTAGTATAAGAACAAAAGGCCAGTTTATCTAATGCCAAAGGATCGAAGTAAAATATTTGTCTGAGATAGTTTTTGTATAAAGGATACCACTAGTCTTTTTTGTTTTGGGCATATAATGGATGGAAAATTCTATGCGTATATGCGAAAATATTTTAATTGATGTAACTGTTACAATTTAAAATTTTTTTTTTACTTATAGTCTGACTTATCAAGGTTTCAAAATATCGAGAGCGCCAGTGATTAGTAAGTAATACAATAGGTAGATAATGTAATGGGTTTAGCAAGCAATACAATGGGTATCGTTAGCTTTATATATATGCAAGGCATTATTTTATTTCGATCTATTGTACTTTATCATTTAATTTCAAATATGCATGTAAAATTTTTGTATCAATTGGAATCAGAAAAAGTATTCAATGCATACATTAAAGTGATCTTTATTAAAAAATAAAAATAAAGTACTAATAAGCTACAAATTTAGTTCTTAACTCAATTATTATTTGAGCAAATTCATGCATTATGGCCTTTTTGGCTACAAATTCCACATCATCTAAATGTGCTTTTACTACTTTCGCCTTCTACATTCTCATTTAATTCTAAATTCACTAAATAAAAGAAATGTTAATAAATATGAAATTATATGATAAACGATAAAAATTTAAAACTTACACATACCTGTATTTAAATTATCTTGTAATGCTTTTCGAAGCCTTTTATGTGGCAATTCTCTATGGTCATTATCATAAATGCTATTTTCTTTATTCTGATTACATTCAACCACTTGTCTTTTTTTGCCTTTATGATCCCCACTTACATTTTTGGGCTTTCAACCTTTCTTTCTAATGCTGATTGGGTTGCTAATAGTACAAGCAAATTCAGTAATTTCATTGTCTTGTATAATTTGAGTCACTTTAGATTCCATCTCTTTGATAAGCTTATCATATATTTTGTAAAACTCTTCTATTCTACCTGTTTCAATTGCTAAATTAAGTGTTTTTTTTCATTAATCCAAATCTTTTTTCCCATTGTTATTTTTGTGTTATTTCTTGGTGAATCTTCTTAGTAAAAACATGACATCTGCGGATGCTTTCTAAATAAGAGAAATCCAGTTCTACTGCATGTTCTACTGTACCAAATCCATTATTTGATAACAATGAAATTGCTGGTACATTTGAAAGTGTTGAATCTGCCTCTATAACTAATACATTTGTATACCAACGTTGTGGTAAAAGTCCAATATGAAATTTAGCAATTGAAGAAACAAGCATTATTGCAAAAAAATGATGACATACAAGACCATGATTAATTAATGTCAAGCATATACACAGATGCATAGTGTTATCATATAATACAATAAAATGCTTGCTTTTTTTATTAATAGAAGAAATACACCAAAGTTCACGTATTCTTGTTGGATCTAAATCTACAATTAACTGCGCGAGTTCTATCACACATATATCAAACATATCTTCAAAAAACATGCCTCTTGGTGATTCAACAGTTACCTAAAAAAAACAATTAACCATATATAAGCATGAGGATGTCGGAAATTATCCTGAATGCCATTTTCCTGAAAGAACATTTTCCCAAAAAGTTCAGTCTAATTATAGTAACTCTGTTTAAGGTTTTTGGGAAAATGTCCTTTTGGGAAAATGGCTTTCAGAAAAACATACTGTAACCTACATAAGTAATTATAATCATAAAATCTGATCTATACCTGTTGCTTAAGTTCATATTTCAAATTAGATAGATGACATCGATAATGCATGCTGCAATTCATTTCATATCGTTAGAGTTTAAGAATTGCCAGTGTTAAGAAATATTAACATGATATGTCAACTTCTTTAAAGTAATGATTATGATAATCTTTATTTTGACTCACAGGAAGCTTACCAATAGTTTTATTTAACTTTATAAATTTGCTCTTTTTTGCTAATAACCTCTCAATTGTATGCTCAAGCTCCATAAGTGAAGATGATCTATTAACATTATTTTTAATAATACTATTATATGACTCTATACGTTGTGTACTTTGTATTCTGACATTAAATGCACAGTGTGTAAAACACAATACCCAAGCCTCTCTACATGAATAAAGATAACATTGCAAATAACTAGTGGCATCAGGATATTCCTGCAACAATGCAGCCAATCTCTCTTCAAAAATTGATTCAACTTAACTATTGCGTGCATAACAAAAAGCTGCAAAAAATTTGTTCCATTTTTCACCATGATACTTGCTAAGAAAATGCTTTTTCAAGTTTTTTCTAATATGAAATAAACAAAAATGATGTTTTGTTGTTGGCCAGGTGCTGTTTATTGCTGCAATCATCACAGGATCAGCATCTGTATAAAGTAAGGATGGTGTTAATCCTCCTGTTGCTTTGAAAAGACTCGTGAATAACCATGAAAAGGTGTCTTTTGTTTCATCTGACATTATAGCAGTTGCTGCAAGGCGGGAGCGATTGTGATTATCTACTAATATTACAACACACAAAATCATTGAATAACGATTTGTTTTTGCTGTTGTATCAAGTAAAATTATATCATGAAAATGAGCCCACAATTCTTGTTGGCTTAGACGCATCCAACAAAGTCCAACAAGATGATTATCCTGACCTTCAAAACGTGCATCAATATGAAATGTTAGATTTTCTTACTGCTAATTCATAAGTGTAAGATACATTGAACTAGCATCACTTGTAGTTTGATTTTTGTGTCAGATTGTTTGAATCAAATTGTAAATATTACGGGAATGAATGTATTTGTCTGGATATTTATACTACAAAACTTCAATAATTGCACCAGCACGCATCTCACAAGTAGCGAGAAGTGCTATGTCATCACGCATTTCTGGAGTAAGCTTACGATAATAAGAGAAAACTATTCTAATATTCTCCACTAATTCGTGATTATTCTCACCCTCAACCTTTGTAATGTGAATGAGATTATCCTTTTTTCGATGATAAGCATTAATATGAAACTTGCAATTATTTATATTATGTCCTCTATTACGATTTTCGTTTGTATGTACTTTTTTTTGTTGATTATATATTTGATCTTTTGAGCATGCATAAATATGACATTGAGGAAAACCATCATCCTTATCTTTATCGCTATAGGTAATCGTAAATGCAAAGCCTTGTTCTAATCTATGATTTTTAAGCTATCTTAATAAAACAAAAAAAGTTCTAATATTATTATACAGGTATAAATAATATGACATAACTTCTTAGCATACTTATTCGTCAAGTTTTTTCCAGTTTACGAAAGTCATATCTGGCTTAATAGAGTACAATGGTTCAATATTTTCAACTTTTTCGTAGTTATTCTCAAAAAACTCACTTAAAGACTCTTCCTCATTTAAAACAAATGATTGTGTGTCGTCAGCTAAAAGGTTAAAAGTATCTTCTGATGTTCCAGATGGGTCAAAGTCATTGACACCACCATATTCATCTTCAATATGAAGAAATGGTGTAAAGGAAAAGGAGTAGGAAGACATGACTAATATAATTAAATGTAAATGGTAAGTGATGAGTAGTAGGTAAATGATGCTAAACATAAATGGTGTTAAAGTATTGAAACTAAAGCTCTGAACGGTTCGGATTAATCCGAAAATTTTCAGTTCAGATCAACTTCGGTTTGGTTTCAGATTGCAAAAATTTCAATCCGAAAATTTTCAGTTTGGTTCGGATTTTTTTCAGATTATAAATCTAATCCGAACCAAAAAAAATCTGAACTGAACTGAAAATTTCAGATTAATCCGAAATTTCAGATCGTTTGGAATGATGAAATTATCGTTTCAAATGAACGATAAACAGATCGTTTGATTGGAATGATTAAATTATCATTCCAAACGAACGATAAAAGAATCGTTCATTTAGAACAATTGAAGTTATCGTTCCAAATGAACGATAAGAAAATTGTTTGATTGGAACGATCAAATTATCGTTCCAAACAAACGATAAGAAAATCGTTCGATTGGAACGATCAAATTATCGTTCCAAACGAACAATAAGAAAATCGTTCAATTGAAATGATCAAATTATCATTCCAAACGAACAATAAAAGAATCGTTCATTTGGAACGATTGAAGTTATCATTCCAAACGAACGATAAAAGAATCGTTTATTTGGAACGATTAAATTATCATTCCAAATAAACGATTCTTTTATCGTTCATTTAGAACGATTAAATTATCATTCCAAACAAACGATTCTTTTATCGTTCGTTTGGAACGATTAAATTATCATTTCAAATGAACGATA